TGGAAGATAAAGATTGATACGGAGCCATTTACGGCTCAAATTAACACCGTCAGTGTTCGACCTGGTAGGATTGGATAGCAAGACAAATTACGGGCAGGCTGCACCAAAGAGAGATGTATTAAAATAGTTGGGGAGGTCCATAATACCAACACAGAGGAGTTCAATATCGGATTGCCTCTCGCCACATGATACAGTGGCTAAAGTTAGTTTCCAGAAGGACGACAATGTGTGACGAGTAACTTTAGTCGACCAAGTAGTGATAACTCCTCACAGCATACGACGACCGGAAAGGTTGTCAAATGATGAGAGATGGACAGATAATCAAAAGACGATCCCTTTGCTGATTAGAACCCAACGACGGAGACATCATTGTCAAATCTTGGCCGCATGTCTTGCAGAACAGGAACAACAGTGTCAACAACCCTTGGAGAGTAGGAGAAAAGTGTTATGACTAAGGACACACATCAAGTGGAAGAATTACCCCCATTCCCGCCCGGAGAGGAAGGCGACGAGAATGAAGACCAAAACAAACTGTCCTGGAAGACAGTGGCGCCTCAGGACAGTAACCTCATCCGGAGGAGCCAATGTTGTCTGTCCCGGAGAATAAACTGATTACTGGGGCTTTGGAGGATGACAAGACTTTAATCACAAGCTTGGACATTACTGCGAACGACCCAGATTTAGAACGGTCGCTACATTATGTAGGGGATTTCCTGGTGAACACCATTGGTTTTCTGGCCAAAGAATTCATAGCCCCAAAGGTCCAGCCTCCTTATCTCTAAGGAGATATCTTGGTCGAAAAAATCGGCCTTCTATTATGGGCCGATCAAGAGCAGGAGGTTCCAAAGCAAGAACCGGAGCTGATCATCTTTCAAAAGTTAGTCGAGAAACAAACACAAAACCTTAAGCCTTTATTCCTAACTATTTCTCTCGATGGTCGAACAATCAACAAAGTTTTGGTCGATGGAGGGGCATCAATCAACATAATGACATTTTCTACACTTCACAAAATTGGAAAGAATCGAGGGATTTGATCGCTACCACCATACGAACAACATATTTTACTGGAAAGGACTGAATTCACACTACTCAATGTGTGTCATCCACCCTACACCAAAAAATAATATTTTGGAACACTAATCACATAGAAATGGTCGAAACTGAGACCGATCCGGCCATGGAAGTTCATGCAGCTGAGGCAGTATATTATTGGCCTAGCGTATATCCACTCTCGATGATGTTGAAGGATGCGGATACGTGGATGGAGTGTAACCTCACAATGAAGGGATTCAAAATTCATACAGAGACCGTCACACGACATGTTCGTCAAATTGTTCATGATGAATAATGACCATGAGGTATTACGGGACCTTGAGGGATGGATTCGCGAGATATATGATACTACATGGAGTATCAGATCTATTCCAGTTCGCATTCTTGAAATGCAGGCGAATCCTCCAGGTCCGCCGCCTCCCTAGGAAAACTAGAACGAAGGTGAACTTTCATCACGTATCCAGAGAGCTATCCCATCCTTCGAGGCTCAGAATCCTCTGGAGAAAATCAATCTCATCAACAATGCAGTACTCCGGATGACCAGGATCAGTTCTCTGCTGCTTCCAGACCAGAAACAACGATTTACGAACTTGAACCGAGAATATCGAGACGGTTTCACGTGGGACTACCACGAGATGCCGGATCTATCTAGAAACTTGATTGAACATCGGCTGTCCACCAAGCCGTTGTTTAAACCTCACAAACAACCTCCACGGTGGTTCAACCCAGAATTGATGCTAGAGGTCAAAGAAGAGGTGGAAAAATTACTTAAGACTAATTTCATTCGTACCAGCCGATCCCGGAGTGGATATTTAACATCGTACTCATGGTAAAGAAGAATGGGAAGGTCCAAGTGTGTATCAATTTTTGCAATCTTAATTTGGCGACTTCCAAAGATGAATACGTCATGCCAATTGCCGACATTCTTGTCGATGCAATATCTGAATACGAGGATTTGTCTTTTATGGATGGGTACTCAGGGTATAATTAGATATATTTGGCCGAAGAGGATACTCACTAGACATCATTTCAATGTCCAGGGGCGATCGATATATTCAAGTGGATCGTAATGCCCTTTTGGATTGAAGAATGCCGGAGCAACCTATCAAAGGACCATGAATGCAATTTTCCATGACTTAATTGGCAAATGTATGGAAGTATACATCGATGATGTTGTTGTCAAATCCATGGCACTCAACCATCATCTTATTGACCTCCGGAGGGTCTTCATCCGGATGAGACAGCACGACCTTAAGATGAATAAATGCGCATTTGGCATCCAAACGGATAATTTCCTAGGCTTTCTGGTCCATCAGAGAGGGACCGAAATTGATCAGAATAAGGTGAGGGCGATCTAGGAGTTGGGCCCCCCACGCCGCCTCCAAGAATTGTAGAGTTTGATGGGCAAACTCAAATTTTTATGACAATTCATCGCCAACACCGCCGGAAAGATGAAGGCGTTTTATGTGTTGCTATGCGAAATAGATTTTTTAGTAGGGAGCAGTACAACAAGCCACTTTGGAATGGATCAAGTAGGTCCTTACATCGCCACCGGTGCTGATGCGCCAATCCCGGAGAAGGAGCCGAAGCTTTACATGATGGCCCTACAAAATTCGTCTGCAATCGCGAAGGAGTCATTCCTGGAGGTATAGGCACGAAATACAGGGTGACCATCGATAGTGCCTGATCCAACATATTCTGGATTAATTTTTGTTGATCTTGCAATATTGCTTGCATGGTTTCTGTTTATTGGTTGTTCGATTTGACCGGATCAGAGTTGTATGAAATTATCGTTAAACGTAGGATCAGCAATTTTGCTTCGACTCCCACTGTGGTCGCAATTTGTTGATGAATAATTCAACAATAAAAAGTAAAATCAAAATACATACTTTGAATTTGAACTAAAAAGTGTCTGACATCACATATCCTTAAGCAAAGTACATAAAAAAACTAATAAATAAAAACACAAGGATAAATGAGAAGGTAAAAGCATGATCCCAGTAAGACTTTCATGAAATCAATGTTAATTGAAGATGTCCCTCCTCTTGGCAGAATCGTTGATGTGTACACCCATCCAAACCTTCTGAAACTGTTCCAGAGTCAGTTACTTTCCTCGTGGATCGAACTGTCGTCGGTTACAACTCATGCTTCTCATGTCGACACTTAGTCATTTAAAATTGTTACTTATCAATTCAGTAGTTTCGATCAGTTCCTCCCAAACCAACCGTCCGAATAATGTCAGTTGGTTGGCCCTTTCGAACAATCAACCGTCTAACCGTTTGACGTTCTTCGTGGGCCCCCTTTCACTCCAACCAACTTGTTTTGTTTGAACTTTTCAATCGAGCCCATTATTAGGCCACTCAATTCCGACCCATGGACTAAAAAACCCTAATTTAAAATTTGCGGTCAACAATTATATATATATATATATGATCTAACATGAATTAAAAAAGTTTTGAACCTATAGTCCAAACATCAAGAGGGGCAAAGTACAACCAACGTGATATTAATGGATATTTCTTTAAAAAAAATAAAGAAGATAAAATTGTCAAAGAAGAGTATTGTATATATATTACATACATTTTATCATAAATACTTCAGTTCTATAACAAAATATCATTTTCATTTTAATTTAATTTGTTTCGTAACAAAGAACATATTTCTATATACAATAAAATCTATTGATTTAAAATATAACAAATATAAATTAATTTAATTAACTGTATTACATATAAATCACTCAAAACTCTTTTATTTTTTTTTCTAAATAAATAAATGTATTTATCTACCGTTAAAGTTCTCAATTTTTTATAAAATTAATTTATATTAATCATAAACAAATAAATATAATTTCTATATATTTGTATTATATAAAATTTTATTACCTACGAAATAATATTCATATTACAAATATTTTTATTAAAATATGATTTTTGAAATATTTACATACATACTTATAATTTTTTTAATAATATATATTATTTTTTATGTTAAAATAATATTATTAACTAATTATGCATCAGCTTTATACGGGAAGGAGATCATCAGCCCTCTCTCCACCCAAGCTCCCGCGCCCTATTGCAAATATTTTTATTCAAATATAACTTTTAAAATATTTAAATATATATTCTGAATTATTTTTAATAATATATATTAATTTTTAGTTTAAAATTACTAATAATACCCTTACATAAAAATAAAAAATAAAAATAATATTATAATTTACTATTAGTAACTAATTAAACATCAACTTAATATCTAGGAGATAATCGACCCCTACATACAACAGTGTATTATTCCCTTGGCGGTGTCCCTAATCAAATGTATAATTTGTTATGGGAGATAATACACCCAAATAAACAGTATGATTCAATCAATCAATCACGCTGCTTATTTTAAGCTTCTTTTAACAAGTCTGCAGAAGTGACTCAGACAAATTCACAATTATGCTTAATCGTGAAGAGTGTTTCTAAATCAAAACAGTGAATTAAATCTAAGTGAGTAAATTAATCAATAGACGATGCATGCAAGACAAGACAGACCTCCAAAGAATGCAGCACAGTGCTGTGAATGAAACTGAAACCATTTTATAGAAACGACACGATGCTGCTCTTGTGCTTGCAGCACTTCATTCATTCATTCAGTATTCAGGACAAGAACCAACAATCTATTTTTAACACTATGGAATTGGTAATGCGTACCAGAATGTGGAGGTGGAGCTGCCGGCCTGGCTTGGCTTGACAGATGAGATGTGACCAAAACTTATTTACCTTAAAAAGAGAGTCCTTTGATGGGACAAACCCAAATACAGACAGAGAGGATCACATTCTAGATATACACAGTCAAACCGAACCACATCAGACCCGCCTGCGCACCCGCCTACCATTACCATTACCATTAGGATCCATCAAGTTCGCTACACCACCATCTGCAGTGGCCAAATCTAGCCCGAAGATACTGCTGCCACTCCTTTTCTTACCAGATGAAACGTTCAATTTATCATCTACCGATGCAACTGTTTCCAGCAGCTCCGACAACAGCAGGGGGTACTTCTGTTCCAAGTCCCTGAAACCTTCTGACAGCATCACAGCTGAACACCAGAATAAGGCCATAAAATCAGCCTAGTCAAATTAATCCAATACACAACTATTTTAACGTATCTTCAATAATTTGAGCCGTTGTGTTGAGGATGATATCAATTCAAGAGATTTTAATAACTAAGTTAAATTGTTGAAATTTCCAGTTGAGTCACTTCATATGTCCAACTTTGAAAATGAAATAAAGGAACAGTATCCGAAAAGAAATAAAAACCAAAGACTACATGCATCTTACCAACCAGTCACTAAGCAACAGAAAAAGCTAAGATTTTTTGTAGATTTCCTAAAAATTGCACTAGTAAATGTATGCAAGCAAAAATATGAAAAATATATATAGTTTACAATTTATTGCATCAAAATATAGCAAACTAGTTGCATGTATGCAGTAGAAAACAAAGTAACTTGCAGAAATTAGTCATTTGTGTCAACCTACAAAAACTAGCTATATGGCCGGAATTTCTGATAAGTAAAAAACAAACAATAGTGGATTGTATATACATTCAACACAACATCTAGAATATCTAGAGAACCAAATACCATGCATTGACATGACATTTCAGCTCTATATAGAATTATGGTATAAGCCCATCAGTTTTTTCACATCAGGAAGTAAAATCTCATTAAAAGATCATGTTTGCTCACTCTGTTTCAGCGTTCTCTAGAACTTGGGACTACAGAGACCATATGTTTTTCCTATTCAAGGTAAACCAACTGCCACTCAAGTCCTCTACAACCCCCCTAGATCTTTCAATGTGGAGCCCAACTCCAATGCAGGGAGGTGATAAAACAAGCATTCTTGAATCACTAACCATCTCTTATAATTCCCAGACACTAAACGGACTCTGAATTCACAGCTCACATCAGAACTAACAATAGGAAAAGGAGAATGAAGCTCCTCAGAGAACCCATAACATTCATTGTAATATGAAAGAGATTCGCCCACCCAGAGAACAAGTACAGATAATCCAGAGGCTTCTTAACATATTCACAGCAGTTAACCAACTGCATAACATTTTTGTCAATAGTGCATCATCCTCCAACCAACACTGCCCCCCCCTAGTGTCGTCTTCCTGGTATCTGAGGTGAGATATGCTGCCTTCTTGATACTTCAAAAAAAAACCCAAAACTCTACCTCCATTTAAAGGAATTGACTCCATTAGGCATGTTGTCAGTGATTCCATTCAAAGCAATCAGATCCATTATGCATGTATCAGTGATTTAGGTACTAAGTGGAGGTGCCTCAGTAGTTGGTTTCCTTTCAACCATAAAATCATTAAAAGTATATCTACAGGGTGCAAAGTAAAACCAGAAACAAAAACTGAAGATACCAAATTTTTAATACACCCCTAGCCCTAGGCCTTCTCTCTGTGTAACTACGCAACTGTAACCATCTGTCCTCATCACTTCATTTGCAATTAGTCACATCTGCAGCCTGCCAGACCTCCACCAAATTATGCTGAAAACAGATCACACTAGCTTATCCATAGCACTCATCAATCACTCCTCAATTGCTTTGCCACAATCTCAGATGTAGCACTAACTAAACTTATTAGGCAAAATTTAAAGATGCTCTCCAGCCCTAGTCTGGAGGCTTCTCTATATGTAACTTTCTCCAATGCCCCATTTGCAATTAAAGTCACATGTGTGGATTGCTGGACCTCCAAAATATCATTCTGATACAGACAGACCCGCTAGCTTGCCCATAGAGCACATAAATTTATCCTCAACCACATTTGCCCACAATCATAAATGTTGCTCCTGCCAAATTTTAGGAAAAACTAGATAGAAATACTATTCACCTCCTTAGATATAAAGCCCGAAAACTAATTATACCATAATCACAGTAATAAACTTTTAGCATAAACAATACCATCAGTAAAAGGCGGCTGCATTTAGCCACCCAGGCAGTGTCAACCATTTTCTGTTTCAACCTTACTAATGTTGTTAAAGGTAAATGGTGAAACATGGCACAGATTTTTTTCAGCCACGAAAAACACAATGCAAATATTAGATTAAAATAAAAAATAAAAATTGTTACAATTCATAATTAACACAAAAAAATTCTACACAATTAGACAATTATACATTTCATAATAATAGCTTAAATTATAATCTAATTACCAGAATATTGAAAATAAAAACAGCAGAATTAAATTAGTCTAATAACATTAGAGTTCCAATTTAATAGTATAAAGTGTTCAAATCAGTTTCTAAAATCAAAGATCAAATTGTGGCTCTACAAAACTAGTGTTGGTTTGTTTGGTTTAATGGAAAGAATAAAAAAATAAAAATAAAATAAAAATTTCCAAAAAGGAAGAAAACAAATCTTATCCTTCCAGTTTTCTCTATTTATTTTATTAGGATATGCAACTTGGTACTTTGTATCAATGGCTCCTAACGGATAATATTGTTGATTCATTGTTTACATGGGCACAAAAGGAAAGATTACAAATGCATGCCATATATAATACTCACATAGTTCATTTGTAATTTATAAAATTTACTTTATTATCCAAATTCATCCTTACGGAGATTGGTTCAAAAGTTTTCGAAATAGAACATTCTTCACTAATCTATGTTATCTTTTATATGTGAATATTGTTTCCTGGATTGGTTCTTCACTGTGCTTTATGATTCAGGGAGTAACAATTAACTTCAGATCATAAATATAGAGAATTAGAAAGATAAAACATCCAATTGCAGATGGTATTTACTGAAATGAATCAAGAATATGCCAGCAGATTCAAAGCGTAAAACTAAATTGACATAACCTGAATAATTGCACCGCTCAGATCTACGGACTACACGCACCTCCCAAGTTTGTGGCTGCAAATTTTAGGCATATGGCCTTTAGTTGTGGAGAGTGATGTTGCTCTGCAAGGGAAAGAGTTGTTGCTACTGTTTCAGCGCTGACCTCTTCACATAGTTTTGCTTCACACAATTGTTTCAACCGTTCTAAACCAAAGCGATCAGCGGCAGCTAATAATTGCTGCATCATGATTGCAGAATCAGAGCCAATTGATTCATGGCGGTCGGGAAGTTCATCAGAATAAATAAATTGCAGCAATGCCTGCAATAAATTCAAGCACACATATCAATGGAGTTGTTACAGAAATAAGCACGAGAAGAGAAAAGATAAAAAAAAAATGATAAACACTTAGTATGTCTCCAATTATCATGTGGGTGGATACAATGAAATACCGACCACTTCTAAACAAATATATTCTTAGTTTTCGTGCAAATAACTGCAAAGAAAACCTTTCCTACTATTTCTTAAGATTCATGAAGACATTTTCTGGTTAATGATGTCAGCAGATTCATTAAACAGCACTCCCCAAATACCCAATTGTAGAAATTTTACTAATCATGAAGGTTAAGAATCAGATCATCACTCCCATGGAACTATCCGATACTCCAATTTAGATTTTACTCTGAAAATGGCAAAAACTAATATGGAAGTAACAAGAAAACATGCCAACAAAATTTTCTGTACGAAGTTAGAAAATTGGCTTTAAGGAGCTCACAAATCCATCGGCACCTCATGTTTACTTTGTAGGTCAACATACAAACTGTCCATTCAGTTTCGTAATTCATAACTAGGAATAAATCCAATATAGGATAATAAAAGTGTTGAGAATCTTCTGATATTATAAATTTCAGTGAGCCGTGTGAGAGCAAAGCAAGTTCCATTGGCGGACTGTGGTTTGGTCCCACTTTAGACATAGTATGTCTGTTAATTTTGTTTACTACCACATGAGAAGTTTTGTTTGCTTTGAGACACACAGATTCTACCTTGAAAATAAAAGGTTCAACATCCTCAAGTTCCACTTTATCACTGTTGGGGTTTCCAACAAGTTCAAAAAATTGGGCACTGAAAACCGGAGATCGAGCTGCAAGTATCAACTTATGAGCCTTGAATAATTCTTCCCCAACCTGGAATGTTATATCACATCCAATTTCAGCATCCAGCAAGTACTTCAGGCTTTGGCCAATATCAGATGGGGGTGTTGGGAGAATATATGACTTCGGACCCTCAACTCGGGTTCGGACAACTCCAACAGTGCAATGCATGGCAAGACTATCATCTTTCAAAAAATCAGATGATTCTAAAGATGACCTTCTGAAAAATCGTTTATATCCCCTGCAAAAAGTGATTTATTAGAAAATATAATAGCTATTCATCTTTAATATGCTAGGGTAAAATGTGATTAAAGGAGTTCAAGGGTGTGTTTGTTTGTGCTTTTGATCTTGTTCCTGTAGTACACAATCTACAATAAAAATGTTTTTTCTCCCTAAAAACACCATGTAGAACAAGGAAAAATAAAATAAAATCCAAAGCAACCCAAAATATCCAAACACACTATAAGTTACCGGCATTCTGAATGGAAACAAGATGAATAAATAAAAAACAATAAAATGATATCTCAATCGTCTAAGCAAAGAAAAATCAAACGGAAATCAACTATTTACCCAAAAGCCTCCAGACTACTTTCTTTCCACGATCAACAATGAAGTTTCAAACCCTAGCTATTTTTTATTAAGTAATACTACTAAACCTTACTAGAATTAAAATAAGTTCATCCAATAAGGGACAAACCCCATCCCAAATATAACCCAAGACATAGCAAAAGATAAGTTCATCTAAGGCATAGCAAAATAAACCTGTAAAACAAATTGAATAAAAGTGTAAAACTACAAACGGCAGGCTTAAACCCGTACCCATTGTCGATATTGAAGCAACAACAGAGACTCTTCTTCCTCTTTAATCTTAACCTCAAGTTCTTCTCAATCCAGCTTTTTATTAATTCCATCCCCTTTCGAATCGACCTTTGTCCCCAAGGTCAAGATACGAAACCGGAAATGAGCTACGCTTAGCCAAGTCGCCCATCGTTCAGTTGTCTTGTCCACTTAACCAAGGTTTCATGTTCCTTATGTTTGCCTTCCTCACGAGCTCCACCAACTTTCGGGTGATTGGGTTACAACATAAAGTTTGACCATCCGTCAGCATTACTTGGCTGCCCTTCCACTCAAATGACATACTCAGAACTTCTCAATATGTTCAGACCTCACCCAACATGACTAACCAAGCCATACCAAAAAAACAAAAAGAAAAATATCAACAACACCGAGGGAAAACACAAAACAATTAGTCGTTACCTTGCAATCCAGTAATTAGACCGTAACATCCCAGCATAATTCTTTAGTTCCTATCTCCATCCATCCCCTAACTGAACTACAAATCTTTCTGTTCGAGAGTCATAGAGTAGATACTAAGGAAAAAGATATAAGATTATAACTAGCACCACTATTGATTAATATTGCTACCTTCCTTCCTCGCACAACTCCGTACAGCCCATAATCCACAGGCTTGATAAGCCCTCAATAAAGAAAAATGCTAAAGTCCTCTCTTCTATCGATGGATCCACTTGTTCTTCCGTCTAATCTTCTTGCCTGGTAGGTACATGATAGCCTAACAATTTAAGGTCTAAGATCTCTTCCCCTCCCCTTCTTCAGCAATCATGAGCCACAATTGTTTGAGGGGGCATTCATGTCTTAGGTGTACGGTTTATTGCAATGAAAACACAGTCCCTTAGCTCGCAATTCAGCAATTCTTAGGGTGAGGCAGGTAAATCAAGTTCGGGATGTTGACTAGTGAGTTGCCTTCAATTGAGCCACGAAAGGGTGATCGGAAGGCTTGGAGGAATTTCTGATAGATCTATATGGTTAGCCCCTGTTGTTGAAACCCTAGTCATATTGCTTGGTCGAGGAATAAAGCTTGCTGGTGTCGGGCTGTTGAAATTTTGGTATGGGTGTCTCACATCCCACACTATTATCCACAATGTCTCTAGAGAAATCCATGACTATCTCTAAGTGCCCAGACCGAAGAAGGCGGAACAAGCTTTGAATCGAATCCTATAGACTTTTCATTAAGTAGCCTAGGTAGTGCGCATCCGCTAATCTCGGAACTTGATTAGCCAATTGAACAAATAAAGTCACATATTCATTCACCGATCCTTCCTATTTAATGTCGGCTAACTGTTTAAAAGAACTGCCCTTGAAACACGTGTTAAGTCTCGTCACCAACGTTTGTGAAATTTCATCCCATGTTAATCCTAACTTTCGAGAACACAACTAGGTTGACCAGTACAATGCAACCTTTTCTGTGGCCACCCTACCGTAGGCCACCCTCAATCCAAACTATAACCTAAGACATACCAACAGATAAATTCATCTAAGACATGAAAAAATAAACTAATAGAGCAAACAAATGAAAATCTAATCCCACGAACAGCAGTCTTAAATCTGTCCCTATCGTCGCTTTAGAAGCAACGGTCAAGACTCCTCTTCTCTCTAATCTTAACCTCACGATCTTCTCGATCTTAATCTCTATTTTATTCATAAGTCAAGTCTTCTCTAACAATTTCAACTAATTCAGGATTCATCCTACAACATCCTGAATCAAAAGGCAAAGAGCAAGTATTCCTGTATTGGGCAATTCAGAGAAACCGTAAGCAGAAATTTCACGACTCGCAGTTATTCCATGGAAAATTGATAAATAAACATATAAACCAATTTGCAATACATATACATGATGAAAAAATATTGGGAACAATCTTCCAGCAGACACTCATTTAATTGCATAAGACAACGGGTTTAGGACCTCAATCAAGCAGTTAATAATTTTAAAACTACCAGTATCTGCTACTATTATTGAAGCAACCCTTTTGAAGTTTAAATAACACTGAGAAAAACATTAAGTTTTCCAACAAATGGCAAACACTGCAATCCCATTGAGCGCATTCAAGGAGCAGAATTAAGTACAACGGCAGTGCTTCTTTAACTTTCCAACTACAAACGAGCTTGATTATAAAATGGACATACCACACCACAAACCGATCATATACAAGTTTCCAACCACAATCAGCTCAAACTGATCGAATAGATTTCCAGTTCCAAAACCAGTGCCATTTTTACCTCTACCCGATATAAAATTCAATAGTTGGGTCGCCCACAATTACACACAAGGGCTCAAAGAAATAAAAGTAAAGACCAATCAAATGACGGAGTCCTATTTTACACTTGGGACATACCAATCACTGAAACAATGCAAACAAAATGATGAAAAAATAAACAAACATTGGGGTTACCACATGCTTCCCCTGTATTTGAGGGTGTAAGGTCCACTCTCGAGCGCCCGATCGAAATGACTATGAATCTTGTGTTTCCCTTTTCCACTTTGATCCAAAAGCGTCAGCTCAAATAACGCCCTCACATCGGTACCCTCGCTCGCCAAAGCGATGAACACCGAGACATATAGAGAAGAATCCTCGGGGTTCTTCCCATCCGGATAAAAGTAAATCGCCCACTCATACCCTCCGATGCTGAAAGTGTCTGAAGAAATGTACTTTCCAGGGCCCATCCCCTTCGCCAGAGAGTAGCCACGGATGGTGAAGTTATGCGACCCATTCACCGTTTCACTCACCGATCTCGAGCTCGAGTCTAGAGCGTTATTTGGCTCGCTGCTGCAGTTCACAATCATTTCATTGATACCTACAGCAAACCCTAATTATTTCCAACGCCGCGTAAAATTTTGTTGAAGGGATTCCAAACGATGGCTTCCTAATGAAATGAAATTCACGCAAGAGTTTGGATTATTAGGGTCCGAAATTGGGGTAGAAAGGATTGAAATTGGGACAGGAAGACGAAGAAATGCAGAGGAGGATGGATTCGTGTGAGATTGGTTCTTTTCTTGATCACCAACATTTTAATTAAATATATATATATATATATTTATTTAGTTTAATTATTTATTTGAGAGGAAAAAAATACACCATATTTTGTTAATAGGCTTTATTCAACGAGTCATGTTAACTTGTCAAAATAAAGTTCGGCTATGTTTGGATTTAGAATTTAAATTTTAGGAAAGATTTTGAAGTTAGAAATTTATATTCATGTCGTGTGTTAGGTCGTGGGATTTTATTCCAAAATTACTGTTCATTTTTTTTTTTTAAAATATAAAATCAAATATTTATTTTCTATTTTTATATTATATTAAAAATCAATTTCACATTTAAAAATATCGCATCAATACTTATTTATATCACATCATACCATTATTTCTAATCAAAAATTTTACTATTTAAATTTTAATTCAAAATCCAAACTCCCAAACAAACACACATCTAGTATTATTTTATTATAAAGTAATAGATTTATGTGAGAATTTGAATAAATTAATATTTAAATATATACTTTTTACATATATATTGATATTTTTATTTGGGATACAATATTTACAATAATAATATTTAATTAATTAATATAATAAATTATAATATTATATTATTAATTTTTATGTAATTTATATTGTTAGTAATTTTAAAATAAAAATTGATATATGATTAAAAGAAATTTAGAATATTTATTTAAATATTTTAAAAATTTTATATTAATAAGATATATGTAATATAAATATCATTTTTTATACAATAAAATTTTATACAATACAAATAAAAAATATATATATATTTATTTATAATTAATATAAGCTAGTTTTATAAAAAAATAATATAAAATTTTAAATGTAGATAAAAATATTTATTTATTAAAAAGATTGTAAAATCAAGAAGGTTTTAAATGATTTTTCATGATGTAGGATGTTATATATAATAAAGTTAGTTAAATTTATTTATATTTGTTAAATATATTTTGAATTAGTCAATTACCAAATATAGAAATAAATCATTTGTTACAAGAGATACTAAAAAAAAAAAAATTATTATAGGAAGAATGAAATATTTAAAAAATGTTAGTAACAATCCAAAATGAAATTTGATTTGATGTATATAAATAAAAATATAATATTAAAATCTAATGCTTTATATTTAATCAGTATGGTACTGACCCATTGTGTATCAGCACCGTAAGAAAAAATATATTGTATAATATAAAAGTAATGATATTTGTATAATGTATTATAATTTATAAAAAAAAAATTATTTTATTAGGTCGATAGTGCAATTACTAAATTAGAAAATGATACTTTTATTTTGAAACGGATATAAATGAAAAATAAACCATTCTTACTGGAAAATAATGTTCATTATTGAATACCCATGCGAATAATTATAAAATCTGTGCTTTTAAAAAGATAATATTACCCTAATCTCCTTCTTCCCCAATTTTTCTTTTCAATTGGGTAATCATTCGTACAAAATCAAACCACCTTCCCTTGTCGATTTGTTTGCTAGATGAAGAAGTCGAGCCACTACCAAAGCTTTTGATCACCATTGGAAACCAACATCGAGATAAAAATGTTGTCGATGCTAAGCCGCTAGAAGTTGTCAGCCACCAGAGTTGTCTAACTCAACCGTTTCTAAATTTCATAATCAACTGTATCATCGTTCTTTACCATCACTTGGAATTTGTTTTTCCGCTGGAGTGCGACACGGACAACACATTAATTTAAAGAGAATATTTCATTTTTCTGTAAATTTTTTTTATTTCAGCTTCAAGTGTGTTATGTTTAGTTTGGAAATTTTTATTTATTTTTATATTTACTTGTGCAGTTTTTTTATATATTTATGAGATTATCTCACATCTCTCTTTTTTTTTTTTTTTTTATTTGCAATTCAAGGTTTTAAGTATCAAGGTTACACTTAATGGTTTGTTATATGGTCATAATATTTTTGCAGATGTGTAATTAAACAGATGACCACGTAATTTATACTATCGAATCACAATGACGTATATTACACGACAAACTATTATATTCAACGAGGTATATGGATATTAAATATATGAACACCTAATTGTCCTTAATACGTACACATGTAACTTTTTGGAGCATATAACATTGTAACTCGACTTTATGAGTTATTAACAAAAGTATATACTAAAAAATATGAAGTATGTATCATATATACAAAAGTAAAAATTATCAATAAATGAATATATATATGTACACATTTGTAAAATTTTATATAATTTTAAAATTTTCAACTGTATCTTAATTAATACACTAGTATATGATGTTAGTGAGATGCACATATAACTACATAACTTTAACAAAGACAAACCAACTCAATAAACCATAACCAATAAAGTGTTAATAAGACTCTATCGTAGATTTTTTTTCTCATAATTGCAACTTCATTTTGTTTTTAATTGAATGAAGATTTGTGTACAAGACCAATATTTAATGATTTTTAAATTGAACATATTTACTTGTTCTTTAACAACTCTACTTAACTCTTTTATGTGGGTATATTTGTGATCAATTGCAGGTATATGAGTATGATACGAGGTATGTAGCAGTCCAAAATAAGTTTTTCAAACTACAAAAAGAGGTATGTGGTCGTCTAAGACATAAACGATGAAATTACAAAAAGACTTTATCTTTAGGTATTTTTGGTTTCTCATCACACGGCTATAATTTTTTTTTATGTTTAGAAGATTGTACATTAAACGGAGATCTATATACAATACCACTATTGAATGATTTTGAAATTAGATGATATTATCTTGTATATTCCTGGACGTACACAACTAATATCGACGGGTACGTATCATTCTAAATTAATTCATCTAAAATTGTATCCAAAGGTATGTGAATTTATAATGACAGTATGTTACAAGTTATTTACACTAAATGTAGAGCTTGGCTTTTTAAATTCAACGTGATACTTGAGGTCCTTCATGTCCCATAAGTACTCCTTACGGTATAACTTGACCCACAACGTGTTCTCATTGTTTATCTTAAATTACATTAACATTAAATTGCCTCTAGGTATTTAGTTTTTCGACAGAGTTATTATAATAAACATACGAGTATTATGTGACGTTTAGGAAGTATATTTATTAATATTGGAGGTATACATAATACTAGTAAGTGGGTGCATCTTTGTGTATGAAAGTATTTATAATCGTGTGTAAATATTATCAATATGAACACGGGTATTCAAGTAACATGGACATAATTTGTCAATGATTGTTGTTGGAACAAACAGCTATGAGTTGATAACATTCTATCCACTTTCTAGACAGTAAGTGTGCAACTGGGGATACTTTTGAGATGATATATGAAAGAACCTATCAATGCATTCAATGGTGGATGTGAACATCACTTACGATATATATATATATAATAACATATGTTAAGGTGACCAAAAGTAATAGATATATTAAAGTTAGTGTATAGTTGAAGACCTAATATGTTCTTTGTATTGTGATTGTTTGTTAAGAATTTTCTGAAAGTGAGAAAAAACAACCAACATGAGTAAATGGGTTAGAAGGGATAGCAAGTATTAGTCGTGAGACATATTATACTTTTCCACACTGTAAGAAAAATATTAGTCATTGATGCATACACGTTACCGATCCACTGGTGCTTTCAGAATAATTTAGTGAGTACACGTCTTCTCCGTATACGTCGATTACGTTTAAAAGTTACTTAGAGATCCTATTACTTATACGAGTAGATTCAATTAGTTTAGAAGTATATAAATTAGTGAAATAAAAGTATAAATATCATTATTGGGGGTACGTGGTCTCGGCCAGGGGTTTGTAGATACCTAATTATGGAATATTGCCAACCAAAGTATATTATTTACTTTTGTGGGTACTTGTTCTCTTCCAATACATTTGTGCATGATCGAATATTTTTGGAGAGATTTAAAAATATCTTTTAAGATACAAAAAAAATGATATATATAATGAAAATAGTGTCGTGCGTGTTCATGTAGTAACTCCAAAAAGTTCGTCAAAAATAAAAAAAATCTCTTTAACCGGTGAGTGTTCGGGTCGAACTCAGGGAATATGCAAATATCTTATATTTAATTAGAAAAAATGCAACGAGTTAATGTAATCAAAGAAACTAAAAAGATAAATTTCAAAAATTAAATCTAACTAAAAAACGATAAAATATACGTATCTCGAAAAGGATGAAGCAAGGCGTTTGTGTGTGACTTTTGCGTTCCTTAATGGCTAGATTTCCATGGATAAAATGAGCGGGATGACGATGGCGTGATAGCGAAAAATATATGTATAATTGCGGGGCGGCTTGGAGGAATGAGCGTGATCACATTTGCTCACTTAAGCCGACTCTTGACTAGGTTGGTACTCGACCTTAGGGGATTTACAACGAGGCTTCAGCGACACTCGGCGAAGAACATTATAAGCAAGAAACTCTACTGTCACTAGAAATTTGTGTGACCCAATAGACCACCGCCTATGCCCCATGAATTATTCTTCAAACCGTTCTGCTAGTGGTTCTACCCCTTTGATACCTCTCTTTAATCGGAATCGAATTCAGTTTAACAACTAAGCAGGTCGACAAGGCTTCCACATACTTAGTTACGTTGAACTACCCGGAATCTGTTTGTGACACGAAACATGGCTGAAATAGTTGATTCTTCTATCGCCCTTACGCAACCTTGTCGAAATCCAACTTGAACAATTCAAATCGAACATGTAATTTTTAGCTGAAGGTGAGATGGAGAAATATGATAGGAATTTTACTAGCTAAAATAATATGCAGTAATTAAAAGAAAAGAAGGAGAAAATCAATTTGCTCGCGACACAAAATTAAAAATCTTGTATTATTAAACTAGATAAAAAAAATGGGAGAAGAGAAATGGAGAAAATAGAGTGTATGGAATGTATATTATTGTGTATATAGGGTGTATATAGGTGTATATATGGTACAATTAGAGTGGATATTTATAGGGGAAAAAGCTTCTAGAAGCTTAGAGG